TTCAGGAGACGATGGACCTGGTTCGCGACAAGGGCCTCTTCTCCTTCTACGAGGACGGGCACGGCGAGTGCTGTCGCGTGCGCAAGGTGCGCCCCCTGCGCCGCCAGCTGGCGGGCCTGGGCGCCTGGGTGACGGGCCAGCGCAAGGACCAGTCTCCGGGGACGCGCCAGGCGGTGCCCGTGGTGCAGGTGGATCCGGTGTTCGAGGGTGCATCGGGCGGGCCCGGCTCCCTGATCAAGTACAACCCGCTGTCCAACATGACCAGCACGGAGGTGTGGAACTTCCTGCGCGTCATGGGCGTGCCCACCAACGCCCTCCACGCCGCGGGCTACGTGTCCATCGGCTGCGAGCCCTGCACGCGCCCCGTGCTGCCAGGCCAGCACGAGCGCGAGGGGCGGTGGTGGTGGGAGGACGCCGCCGCCAAGGAGTGCGGCCTGCACTCCGGCAACGTCGTGCGCAGCGCGGAGGAGCAGGCCGCGCGAGAGGCGGCGGCCGCCGACCTCTGGCAGAGCGGGGACGTGGCGGCGCTGAGCAAGGAGCAGCTGAGCGCCGCGCTGGAGGACGTCGCGGGGCGAGGCGAGCCCACCCTGGTGGTACTCTACGCGCCTTGGTGCCCCTTCTGCCAGGTGGGGCGGGCGGGGCGAGGCCGTTTCGGGGTGTGCGCCTGCGACCCGGGGCGGGGGACCGCTCGTGGACAAGTGCGTCTGTAGGAGCGGCTGGGAACGACGGCCCCTCACCCGCTCGCTCATGCCCCCCGGGTGAAGCTTCAGTTGCCTGCCAGAGGGCAGGATGGGCAGGCAAGCCTCCGACCTCGCTGCCACCTGGGCGTGGAGAACCCCCCCACACACACATCCCACTCCTCTTTGCCTCTTCGGCCAGGCCATGGAGCCGGCGTATGCTGAACTGGCGCGCCAGCTGGCGGGGTCGGGCGTGAAGGTGGCCAAGTTCCAGGCAGACGTCGAGCGCGAGTTTGCCGCAACCAAGTTTGGCCTGGAGACCTTCCCCACCATCGTCCTGCTGCCGCAGAAGACCCCTGGTGCGTGCACAGGGGGCGACCAGTGGCTTCTCTAGGACTTTTGATTCTAGGGGGGGTTCTTGAGTGGCCCAAGACTGCTGGGCCTCAGGTCTCGGGATGCCATGTCTGAGCCAGAAGTCTCCTACAGATCAATCGCGCGTTTCTGTGACTCTGTCATCCCTGTTTCGACGCAGTGCACATGCCCGCCACTCCGTTCTCCATTACACCCATGCAGGCTTCATCAAGTACCCCTCCGAGAGGCGCGACGTCGACTCCCTGAAGATGTGGGTCAAGGCACTGACTGGCGGGCAGTGACAGCGACGCGAGAGCATCGTTGGCGGAGGACAGAGTATCTGCTGAAGAATGCTTGCTTGCCTGATCACCAGCGGCACATCTGTGGAATGCGCCCCGCCCAAGCTGTAGAACGACAGAGGCTCTTGCACTACTCACGTGCTGATGCTCTGTTCTCCGAGAGACTGCAAGTGCCACGCTGTGCCCTTGTCGAAGAATCTTTGTTGATGCAAGACACAAGTTCCAGGTGATGGTGACGAGGGAGGGAGAGCATACGTGATGGTCTCAAAGGTGGGTGTGATGATGAGAGGTGACGCCAGGCACAGTGAGAAGGATTTCAGCAGGATGCTTACCGCCATAGCAAAATGGGCTGGCAGTCATGGCCCCCCCCTTGTCAGCTTGTCTATGAGCTCCTTCATGGGCGCCAGTTCCCGGTCGTCGATGAGGCGATTGCCCTGCAGGAACAGGGGGGTAAGAGTGGAAATGACACGCCGAGCAGCATCCAGAGCGACAGGAGCACAGGGAGGGAGACGATGAAGGAGAAGAGGCACTGGATCCCACCCTGATGGGTTCGGAGAGCAGTCTCTCCCAACACCTCACGAGTACCTTGGTGAACAGCACAAAGTGTTTGAAGCAGGTGTGTAGGTGGGGTTCTAGCTCTAGCCTCACGATCTGCCTGCACAGGAGCATTGCAAGACAGGGATTGGCCCGCCAGGAGTGCTCAATGTATGCGTAGAATCATATTCCCTCCGTTGGGCAAAGTTCCTTGCCACCCAGAAAGCACACCCTTTCCCTGTGTACCAAGCCACCGCGTACTTGAAGTGGGAGTGATATATGTGGGCATACACTCGGAACAGTCGTTTTAGGATTGTCTTCACAGTGTTCAGGAAGTCGCGGGGGAATGCTGCACCGTATCGCTGCGGGAACACAGCAGGATTGTCCAGCTGCGGTGCCGAGGGGGGGGAGAAGGAGTGGGCAGATGTACCAGTAGAAAGTGTGGCGTTGTCAGAATGATACATGCAAACGACCACAATCAAAGAATGCAATGCGTGCAAGCCACAATAAGCATCCTGCTTCTGAGCTGCTAGCCGCCAGGAGGTTTGCATGAGGCCACTTTCTCCTGTCTACCACTAACCTGTTCCTCCACCCAGTCAAACAGGGTGTTGACATAGGCGGGCGCCGACAGCTTGACAGGGTGCTTGACACGGACACCGTCTGCCCAGAGGTACTCATACTGCGAAGAGGCAACAGTTGTGATCAGGGGTTTGAATTCAGCATACCCAAGTGTGATATGCACATCAATTTACGAATGTCAAGAGATAGGGCTGCAGGCCTCCCCTCCTGGCAGATTCATCTCGCGACACCGCCAGGCCACTTCACCACACCTGCGGCCCAGCAGACATGGTGGGGCAGCGCTGGGCTGTGCAGAGCGTCTCATCCAGCACCTGGTAGAGCACATTGAGCGCGTTGTAGAAAAACACCGTATTCACCGCCAGCCATTCATTGATGTCCTCACCTGCAGGTGTACAACAACAGATGCAGAGTTTGCTGGGAGAGTGTGGATGCAATGCATTGCTGTGGAACATGTAAGACCACCTGGCGGCAGGCATGGGCTCAAATTTGGGCGTGAATCTGCCCTCTGGACTCTCCTTTCAGGTGCCCCCAACTCACCTGGTGGCAGGCGCACTGCCTCCTCGATGGTCCCAGTGCCGAGGGTGTGCTCGATATGCTGCTTCAGTGTCAGTCCCTGCGAAGATGCTCGTGCATTGAGCTGAGTTTCGGAGGGACTGCGAGGGTGCGCTGGTCAGATCACCACACTCTGGTCCCCTCGACCCATTGCCCTACCTTGCTGCCCATGGGCACGGTCTTCACCGACCTGAAGGTGCCGCCCTTCCTGCGATTGCGGTGTGATTAAGTCTGCATCTGAATACAGGTGCATTACAACATTCGCTGCGAGGATCAACACCAACCCGTGCAGTACTTGGAGAAATTGAAGAAGCTCGCCATCGCACGATCCTGGCCCCTCGAGGACAGTACTTGGTTCGTGCAGCGCTGCGTGCAGTAATTAACGCAGCTTAGAGCATTTAGCACATATTTAGCGTCTGTGAATAGTATCGGGGGAGCTGTTACAGGAGCGAGCGGCTTCGGTATAGTCTCGCGCCTGAACTGCTCGTGTGATCCGCTCCGCCCAGGCAGCAGGTTGGTTGAGCAGGGTGGGTCAGGCATACACCCCATCCCGCTCTCGCTCCCGTGGCCGTTTCGGCCCACGCTCAAAGCTGCGGTCCCTCTCCCTTTTCCTGCAGTAGAGAGATACGAGTGGGGGTCAGTACGTCAGGGCCAGGAGCAGTGGTTGGGACGGTCGGCGCAGCGTCCAGCAGCAGGTCACACCCATTCCAATCCATTCCAAAGGTGCCCCACTCACCGGTCACTGTGTCGCTCCCCATCCCCATGCCCATTCCTGCTGCGATCCCGGCTCCGCTCCCGGCCAAAGTCGTTGGGCCTGGGGGACATGGAAGAGCAGAGGGAGGGCAGGTGTGAAGTTGGAAGGGAGAGCATGTGGCAAAGCATGCCAAGCAGCCTTGTGCTACAACTGCAAGGGCATGGACAGCACAGCCCCAGTCTGTGGAGCAATCTCAACTGCCCCCTTCACCCTCCGAGGCCCCTGCGCTGTACACAACGATCCCCTTTACCCCTCAAACCGCCCAGCGACAACCCTGGTCCCGACGTACGCGTCAGCAATCTCGCCCGCCTCCCGCTCCGAGTCGTCCCCGGATGCCAGGTCAGCGCTGCGCTCCCTGGGTCGCGTGGGGGGCGACGAGCTGCGGCCGAGCCCCCGGCCCCGGTCCGCGGAGCGGGACCGCCTGTCGCGCGAGACCTCACGCGGCAGGCGATCGTGGGCCGGTGCCCGGGGTCCAGACTCCTCCCGCCCTCGGGAGGCCGAGCGAGGGGCCGCCTCTGCGGTCCTAGTCTCGGCGCCGCCCCTCTCGGGGGAGGCTGGAGGTGGTTCCTTGGCCCGTTCCCTGGCAGTCGCAGCGTGGGGAAGGGTGTCTGGAATGGGGCCAGGCAATCATCGACGAGCCAACACTCATCCATCCAGGCCATGGTCGCCGGAGTCCATGCAATTCAAGTCGGAGGTGTGCCAACCACTCGATACAGAGCAACCGCCACCCCCACAAATAAATCCCCGCCTCTCGCCTCTCTTGCAGGTAGCGCTCGATCATGCGCCGCACCATCAGCCTGCGCGGGTCCTTGGGCAGGCGAGGTGCTCTGCTCTCCCCGCCTTTTCCTCCCCCAAACCGACGTGACAGCCTGCAGGTTGGGAGGGAGCAAGGGTTGGTCATCCGGCAAGGGTTTTAGGCCGGGCGCATGGCAGGGTTAGCGGTGAGGGCTCCTGTACATTGGGCGTGCATGCAGCATCGAGGCCCTCTGGGGATCTGAGCTGCCCTAAACTCCTGTCTTTACTCAGGAGAGAGTCAACTGCCTCGACATGCACCCCCCCACCCTCTTCCGTCCACAAATCACCCCCTTCCGACACGCCCACAGCCGCGCCTCACCACCCGGTGACGGCGCGGCCCCGCTCCACGTCCACGAGGATGCGGCGGTCCTCCACCTTGCGCCCCTCAGCCAGCTTGTACGCCTGCTTCATGTCGTTCTTGTGCTCGAACTCGACAAAGGCGTAGCCACGCGGCTTGCCCGTGTTGCGGTCGTGCACGATGCGGATGCGGCGGATGGGCCCAAACTCCTCCAGCTCGCGGCGCAGCTTCCGCTCCGAGGTGTCGTAGGACAGCCGCCCCACGAACAGCGTTTTGAAGGGGTCGCCCTGCACGTTGGGGTCCTTGGTCGGGTCCCATGTTTCCAGGCCCTCCCGGATCGCCGCGGCGGCGGCTGCCTGGGCCTCCGCAGCCAGCCGGATGTCCCTGCAGGAAGGCAGAGGGGTGCGACGGGGTGAAGTGGAGGAACGCGCGCGGGGGGGGGGAGAGACACGGACCGCGCCAGGCGGAGCGGTGGGCAACCCAGGGGTCCTGCACTCCTGGCAGCAGGCTCCCCAGCGCCGACGGTGATGTATCTCCCCCAGGCCAGCCCGCCAGCAGTGAAACAACATCTCCATGCACCCCCACCCGGGACCATCATCCACTCACCGCTCAGGCAGCGTCTCCACATCGATCCTGGCCTGATACTGGAGCTCAGGGCTGCGGAACAAGCGGGTCTCTTCCTTTATCTCCTGGGCGCCGTGGTACTCGGGATCGCCGGGCCCGGCAAACTTGTCCATGTACTGGGCGATGCCGGAGAGCGGGACGGCCTTGGGCTTGGGGGGTGGCACCGGCACTGACTCCAGAGGTGGCCGGGGAGCGAAAAGCTTCAGCAGGCGCTCGGTGAGACCGGTGCGATGACCCGTCACGCTGTCCTTCATGCGATTCTTCTCATCGATGCGCTGGGCGAGGAAGGACTGGGGCCTGGGAGGGCGTGGGAGGGAGAGGTGAGAGGGTAGCAAGGAGACTCGAGGAGCTCCCTGCATTCGTCCTACAGAAGCATGATCTGGTTAAGCGTACTTTTTGGCGAAATCCATGGCGTCGCCCTCACGCCAGGCCCCACTCCAACGCTCTGTTCGGTGGGCACTGCCCCTTGATGGCCAACGTCTCTTCCCTCACAACTCCCGAGCGGTATTCCCCGTATGTTGAATGCGTTACCAAGCAGGATACTGTTGGTGTGTGGTGTGATGAGGTCGCTGTCCTAGATCGGGCAGGGGGACCCGGCTGGGGAGAATTCTTGTCGTAGGGATGTGGGTTGCTTCCCGCCAGCGCTGTCACGCCGCTGACGTGCATCGCAGTGAACAGGCGATGGGAGCTCCAACTGGTGCGCGTGGCTCTTAACATCTGGCTTCAGTATATAAACATCGCACTTTGAACGAGTGTTCGATTGAAATCCGTACAAACCGGACTGCTCGAGCACTCGGTCGCGGCTGCTCCCAAGGGATGCAGCGACCTTAGACAAGTAACTTTTCCCCACCTCTGGCGCCGACATGGCAAGGGAAGCGTCCAAGCCTGTCAAGAGTAGTAAAAGGCCTGCAAGTGGTCCTGGCAAGGATGCAAAGCGGCCGAAGTCGTCCCACGCCGGCGGCCACAGCGACCGCAAGTCTGCGCCTGCCAAGCCGTCCCTCCCCAGCAAGCCACAATCGAGGTCTGTATGGAAGACGGGAGATGCTTTAAGAATGCGCAACATAGAGGGATCACTCCCCAGTGCTAGGAACATCTGCAACACATCCCAGCCACTTGACAGTATCCTGAATCCGTCCACGACCCCAGCAAGGAGCGCAAGGAAGCCCTGCGCGAGCGCAAGTCCAAGGTCAAGCGTAATTTTGACCTCATTCAGGTGCCTGGTTGGGTGTTGTGACCGGCTTGCAGCCGTCGAGGAAGCCCTTAGAATGGAGAAACATGCGCTGAGCTCCCCAAGCACAGCTGCTGCTGTCGCTCCATCCAGGCACCCCACTGCTCTCACTCGGCCCCCCCCTGCCAGGATGCTACTTCCCTCTGGGAGGAGCTGCGCCGGCACGACGTAACGCCCGAGCGACGGAGCCAGCTGACCACCCAGGTGCTGTCCAAGATCAAGGGGCGCCTGGTGGAGCTCGCTTCCTCGCACACCGCCTCCAGGATCGTGCAGGCCTGCGTGAAGCACGGCAGCGATGCGGAGCGCGCTGAGATCCTGGCGGAGCTCAAGCCCAAGCTCCAAGAGCTGTCCAAGAGCCCCTACGGCAAGTTTGTGGTCTCCAAGCTCATCGCCACTGCGCCCAAGGCCCAGCTGAAAGGTGGGGGCATCCCTCTGGGTGTGTGCATGGCACGTTCCCCAAAGGGGTATGTTGTGAAGCTGAATGTCTGGGTCTGGCCCAGGACGTCTTTTTGGCCGGACTAACACTGCGGGCATGCAGGGTATCGAAACTGCGGTGCAGTGTGTATGCGTCACAGGCGATACCATGCAGAGCCCCGGCACTTTGCGTGTCCGTGACACCATCTTCTCTCCCCGCTCTTGTGCAACCCGGGCTGTACGTTTCTTGCGCCCTGCCCTTCCTGCCCCTCCCCCCGCGCCCCCCTGGCTGGTGATGCCAATACTGCGTTATCTTACTGAACTCCACTGCGCCCGGCGGGGCGTGGCATACGCTGCGGCCCGCCGAGCCCGTGCCGTTGAGGAGAAACAACACTTTGAAGCCGGGTCGGCGGATTTGTTGCGGGCTGCTTGTTGTATTGCAGCAGCTTGCCTTCCCCTCGCATGCTCTTTTCCCTTCAGGGCATCTCCTTGACTCTACACCTCTTGCACCTTCCTTGGACCTGCCACTCCTCAGCCGCCACACTCCTCACCACCAACCCACGCCGCCACCCTCCCATCACCGCAGAGTACCACAAGGCGATGAAGGGGCGCATCCCCGAGCTGGTGCGCCACCCCTCCGCCGCTCACGTGATCGACGAGCTGTACTCCGCCTCCGGACCCCCCGCCCGCAACGCCATGGCCGCCGAGTTCTACGGGCGCGAATACCGCCTGTTCGAGGGCGGCACGCTCAACGGCGTGGCGGGCGCGCCGGCCTCGCTGGCGCGCCTGCTGGCGGGCGTGGACGCGGGCAAGGCCGGCGCGATCCTGCAGCACATGGCCGCCGCGGTGCTGCCCATCGTGGAGAAGAAGCTGGTGGACTGCGCCCTGGTGCACCGCGTGCTGGCCGAGTTCATGGCCCTGGCCCCCGCCTCGCTGGTGGCGGACGCGGTGGGGCCGCTGTCGGGCGAGGCGCTCCTGCACATGGTGCACACGCGGGAGGGCGCCGCGGCGGCCTGCGCGGTGCTGGCCCACGGCTCTCCCAAGGACCGCAAGGCGGCGGTGCGCGCGCTGAAGGGGCACGTCGCGCGCATGGCCCTGGACGACTGGGGGCACCTCCCCCTCATCACCGCCCTGAGCGTGGTGGACGACACCGCTCTCCTCCGCAAGTTCATCGTGACCGAGCTTCAGGTGCGCGGGGGGTTGTGGATGCTTGTTTGCATGGGGAGGGGGGGATCGGTCACTGGATGGGACCTGGCCCCCCTTCACACACCGCACCACAAGCCCACCCACCCGCCCGCCTGTGCCTGCGTTCGATGAAGACCATTGTGTCGACGGGCGGACTGATTCCCGTGATGAGTGTCGACGAGAGAGCGTGCGGGGGCTCCGCCCGGCCCTGACCGGCTGGGCGGGAGGCCCCCGCGCGCGTCTGAGAACGCCCGTGCCATGCCTGCGCTCGACGAGGGGAGGGTTCCTGCCAGATGCCCCGGGGATGCCCCTGTCCCCCCCCGCTCCGTGTCCCCTTGGACTGCTGTGCACCTGCTCTCCCCAGGGAGTTCACTCCTCCTCCCTCGACACCTCTCCCCGTACTCCCTGCAGAAGGACCTGCTGGAGGTGGTGCAGCACCCCACCGGGCGAAGAGTGGTGCTCCAGCTGCTGCAGCCCAACTGCAACCGGTACCTGCCGCCGGCGATGCAAGCCATCGTGCACCCTCCGGAGAAGATCTACACGCCCCCTGCCGCTGGGGCGGCAGGCGCGGAGTGCGGGGCGGAGGAGCCCCACGTGCACAGCCCCGGGTGTGGGCATGCGCACGGCGATGGCGCGGAGCCCGAGGCGAAGCGGGCGCGGAGGGCGAAGGGGCGGGCCCCCGACGGCGGCGGGTCGGAGGACGAGGACGCGGTGCGGCCGCTGCCGCCCGCAGGCCCGCTGGGCCTGAGCAAGAAGGACCCCACGGTGCGGCGCACGGAGGTGCTGGGCGGCGGGCTGGGCGCCGCGCTGGCCGCGCTGTGCGCCGCCGAGGCCGGCGTGCTGCTCCGCTCCGCGCACGGCGCGGACGTGGTGGCCGAAGTTGCCGCCGGCGGCGTGCTGGAGGCCGCGGCCTCCCCCGCGGCGGTCGACGCCGTGCACGCTGCGGTGGCAGCGCTGGCGGCGGAGCCGCACGGGGGCGGTGCAGGCGCCGCCGCGCCCGCGCAGGAGCACGTGTTGGAGAGCTGGCACGGGTCGCGCGCCCTGCGGCGTCTGGCGCTGCAGGGCAGCGAGGCGCGGGGCGGGGAGGAAAGCGCGCCCCGGCGCTTCGTGGCCGCGCTGTGGCGGGGCGCGCTGCGCGGACGGTGCGCCGAGTGGGCGAGTACGCACGCTGCCAAGGTCCTGGCGGCGGTGTACGCCGGGGCGGGGCCAGAGGACAGGGCGGAGATCGAGGCGGAGCTGGGGGGCGTGGTGGAGAAGGGGGACGTGGGGGCCTGGGCCGCGCGCTTCCTTGCGCACAGCAAGGCGTGAGGGGGTGGTGGCGGAGGAGGGTTGCCGCTCGCGAGATCCGCGAGCCCCTGTACTCACCCCCAGAATTCCTGCCGATCCAGCCCTGTGCACACTTCCTCGGCGCTCTGCTGAAATGTACTTGATCCATCCTTACTGCAATGTACACTTACTGACGGCCTGGCGGGGGAGCCTGCTGGCGATTTGGCCGAGACCACACCGAACCCGAACAGGATTCAAAAGCAAATCTTGGCACGTGATGCCACGTCCATAAACCGTCCGACGTCACGGCCCCATGACTCATCATAATCGATGTGCCCCGGTCCGGCTGTTCAGATAGAATGCCTAGGTCTCGCATGGCATCAAAACAAACCAACAACAGGAAAGGGTATCTTTGAAGCTACATTCGGCGCGTGACACCTGCCATAGACCGACCATGACCTGCGCAACGACTTCCGCGAGGGGGTGCCCTCCCTCCCTGACAGCAGGTGTGCGTCGGTGTTCCCTGATGTGTCAGTCTCAGTGCACTTTGACCGTCATGTGGTGCTCATAATGCTACTCGCACGTCGCGCAGGAAGTCCCTCGGTGCTGAGGATACAGGCGAACAGTGCCGTGCTCGGCACTCGGCAGCCAAGCCCTACCGGACCGAGCACGGCCACCAGGCCCAGCACCTCCAACGCCGTGCTGAGCTTTCCGTCCAGCACATGGCCTCGATCCAAGAATAATACACTCACATTGAGCCGACCGGTGGCAGCGAAGCCCAAGGTGCGGTGGATGCATTTCCGGAAGGGAGAGGAGATGCTGGCAACACTCTGGCGGAAGCCTAGATGCTGGATACTCTGAACATACAATTATATGCTGCGGCAAGAAGCCCATGCATTGATTGCGTGGCCTCATCGCGCCCTTCCCCTCTACCCATGCAGGTTTGGAAGGCTCCAAGGCTGCCGCACCGTGTTGAGCTTACCAGTCAAGAAAAGAAGGAGCTCATAGCTCTCAAGACGGAGAATGAGTTCCTCAGGTAGGATGGTTGGACATCAATGTGCCAACGAGTGAGAGCAGACGTGATTACTCTGGTGGCGTTTCACAGATACACTCGGCTTGACCCTGAAAACCCACTTCCTCCATTCCTTATCTGCAGGCACTACTTGGAGTGCCTGCAGCGCCAAGAACAGGGACTCGTTGCGCTGTTGCAGACTCAATGAATGAAGGCGGATCGCATGTCATGCACACCGAGCGAGCTCCCACTTGTCACTACCATCCCCTCAAACCATGTCCTGCGCCGCAGTTTTCGGACGTGAGAGGTGGGTCCTGCACAAGGCTCCACATGTCCCACACATCCCTGAGATTTTCCTATTTGTTCCTAGCGTGTATCGTCAATACATCTCCCAAGTAGCGCTCTTTGGTCTTTGTGTAGCTCAATCTTTTTCTGTAGCCATTCATCGCACCCTGTACTCTCTCCCTTCCGACTTGTCATACTTACAGCGACCATGTGTGTAGGAACCCTGGACACATTACAGAATGAGGCAAAGAGAATGGCTTGTGGCGCCCCCACGAGAGGCAAGGGTGTCAACAGGCGCGACCTGCGTGCTGCGAGACTCCTGTGCATGCGGCGACGGAGAGTGGTGCGGGCAGGGAATACTATGAGGAGCCTCGACACTAGCTCAACAATGATGCCAAGAGTGCATATTATATCAACACCTCCAGGGTATCAAGGCCTTGCCTGCGTCGTCCTCGAAGTCGACTCCTAGACCTCCCCGTTATGCTGTACTGAGGGGCCCCAGGGGGCATCGCACGCACGATGGTGGTGGCCAAGACAAACTACCGCATTGAGTCATCTCTGGAAGTGTTTTACACCGGAGGCCCGGCGGCCCTGTTCCCCGATGGAGACCGCCTTGCTTGCGCATGCGGCGACGAAACCAAGGTGCTGGGGTGGCAGGGGGTGTGTGCGTGCAGGAGCAAGACATGCGTAAATACTCACGATGGATATTTTCAACCCTGGCAGATCATCGACCTGGAAACTGGCGCCGTGCTCCGCTCCCTGCCTGGGGTGGGTTGCGCATTGGGCCAAGGATCAGGGACCAGGGAGCGCACCCATGCTCTCGCTGAGTGCATGCTGAGCACGCTGCATTCTTCAGTGAGTTCCTCGGTGACACGCGCTCTGACCTCTTTTTTCTCCACGCCGCAGGACTCTGAGCCCGTGACAGCTCTGGCCATCAGCCCCGATGGACGCGCCGTCTTCTCCGCCAGCCGCGCCCTGCTCCTCCGCGCCTGGTCTGCGGAGACGGGCAAGGTGGTGCAGACATATGTCGGGCACAAGGCCCCCGTTGCCGGCATCGCCGTGGACCCCACGGGCTCCCTCCTGGCCACCGTCTCCGCCGACCACTCCACGCGGGTGTGGGACGTGGCCGGCGGCTTCTGCACCCACTCCTTTGGGGGGCACAGGTAGAGTGAGGGGGTGGGGTGTGCTGGAAGTCTGGGTGGGCAGGGCGTGGTTGGGGCTGGGTTATTTGGCCCAGGGCGGCCCCCCAAACCCCAACAAACTGCACGGCCCTTAAGATCCGCCTCCGTGAGCGGAGTCCCAGCCCCTCATTCCTCCCTCATGGGGGATGAAAGGTGGCGGCTGGGATCTGCGCATCACTGCAATGGAGTGCCGCTCGAGTCATAGCTGTGCCACACGAACGACGGCGGGGTGCGGGTGGTTCCCACCCGCACCCCCTGGGCCCGCGCCATGTTCCCATGTCACCCATCGGACCTATGACCTATGGGTCTGATTCCTCGTGACTGGGTGCCGTGTCAAGGACGGGCCGACACCCCCGAACCCCCTTCAGGACCTTTGACCATTTGGTTGTGATCTTGTGCAATTATGGAACCTTTCTCCACAATTTCTTGATTCTCACACAGCAAACCTCTGCATCCCCCCCCGTGCTCTTCCTTCCATCAGTGTCTTGGGATCACAAGACTGCCACCCCGATCTGGCACCAGACTGGCACGACCGTGGCCGCACCAACCCCTACTCATCCCACCTGTCGCCCATCTTTCCACCAGGGGCATTGTGCTGGCCGCCTGCTTCCACCCCCACGAGATGCTGCTCGTCACCGCGAGCGATGACACGGAGATCCGGGTGTGGGACCTGGTCGCCAAGTCCTGCAGAAGAGGTGGGGCACGGAGGTGGAGGGGCATGCCAGTGTAGGACAGCATGTTCAGTTGTTGGTTCCAGCGTATCTCCTTGGCTGCCCCTGAGGATGTGCGACAGGGCAACCTGTTCCTCGCGCCCCTACTGTCCACCACTCCTCACGAACCCTGCTCGCCCACACCGCCGCCGCCCACACAGTCCTCAAGGGGCACTTCTCGGCGGTGACCTGCCTGGGCCTGTCTGCCGACGGCTGGACCCTGGTCTCCGGCTCCCGCGACGGCGTCTGCATCGCCTGGAACCTGCGCTCCGGCGCCAAGCTTTCCACCACCCCCGTGCTGGAGGCCGTGGAGGCGCTGGCCGTGCTGGACCCCGGGTCGGCGCTGGCCGCGGGCGCCGCGCCCGCCGCCCCCGCCGCCGTCTTCGCGACCGGCGGCGAGCGCGGGCGGGTGCGCGTCTGGCGCAGCGACACCGGCGCCTGCGTGGCGACGGGGGCGGGAGAGGGCCCCGCCGACGCCCCCGCCGCCGAGGGCACGGGCGTCGTGGAGCTGCTGGGCGGCGGGCGGGGCCTCCATGCGGCCGGGCAGCCGGTCCCGCTGGTCGCAGCGACGCAGGACGGGCGCCTGCTGGTGCACGCGCCGGGGTCCGGCGTGGCCGCCCCCCCCCCGCCAGCTGGTAGGCAACAACGACGAGGTGACCGACGTGCGCTTCGTGGAGCGGCGCGCAAGCGGCGCCGGCGCCGGCCCCTCCCCCGCCTGCGTGGCGGTGGCCACCAACTCCCCCGTCATCCGCGTCTTCTCCACCCCCCGTTTCGACTGCCTGGCCAGCCTGGCGGGGCACTCGGCCGCCGTGCTGGCCCTGGACGCAGCGCTGCTGGCGGCCCCCCCGGGAGTAAATGACGGCGAAAGCAACCGCTCTGCCCTCCAGCTGCTGGCCTCGGGGTCAAAGGACTGCGGGGTGCGGGTGTGGGATGTGAGCGCCGGGACCTGCCTGGCGCTGGGCGAGGGCCATGTCGGCGCGGTGGCGGGTGTGGCCTTCTCGCGCCGCCGCCCCGCCGCCTTCCTCGTCTCCGGCGGCTCCGACCGCCTGCTCAAGGTCTGGGACACCAGCGCCGTCGTCGGAGCGACGGCCGGCGGGGCTGGCGGTGACGGCGACGGCACCACCTCCGACCGACCCCTGCGCCTACGCACCGTGGCGGCCGTGGCGGCGCACGACCGCGACGTCAACGCGGTGGCCGTCTCCCCCGACGACGCGCTGGTGGCCAGTGCCTCGCAGGACCGCACCGCCAAGCTGTGGCGCGCCGCCGACCTGGTGCTGGTCGCCACGCTGCGCGGGCACCGCCGCGGCGTCTGGTCCGTGGCCTTCTCGCCCGTGGACCGCCTGGTGGCGACGGCCAGCGCCGACGCCAGCCTGCGCATCTGGTCCGCGGCCGACGGCGCCTGCCTGCGCGCGCTGGAGGGCCACGCCGCCTCCGCGCTGCGCTTGTGCTGGGTCAGCCTGGGCGCGCAGCTGGTCTCCGCCGGCGCCGACGGCCTGGTCAAGCTCTGGGGTGCGCGCGCGGGGGAGGCCGCGGCCACGCTGGATGCCGCGGAGGACAAGGTCTGGGCGCTGGACGCGCGCGGCGACGGCGCGCAGCTGGTGTCTGGCGGTGGCGACGGCAGGCTCGTGCTGTGGGCTGACGCCACTGCCGAAGATCGTGGGGAGGCCGCCGCCGCGGGGGCGGCGGCCGTGGCGGCCGACCAGGCCTACGCCAACGCGCTGGCCGACCGCGATTGGACGGCGGCGGCCAAGACCGCGCTGGAGCGGGACCAGCCGCGCCGCCTGCTGGCGGTGGTCAACAACGTGCTGGAGGGCGCAGATGAGCCCGCTGATGCAGAGGTGGGCTGGGTATTGTGGTGGAGGCGGAGGCGGAGGCACTTGTACTTTGGGATCGGGCCATGTGCTCATTTTTCGAGCATTTTCCGGTGCCACAAAGCGCTGATTCTGCTGCGCGGATCTCCACGCTCCCGCATCGTCCGCCGGAACCCCTCACCCTCGTGCAAACGCCATGCAGGCGATACTGCGCCCGCTGGTGGCGCCGCTGCGGGGCGAGGCGCTGCGGCGCCTGCTGGAGACCGTGCGCGACTGGAATACGCACGCGCGCAGCTGCCACGCGGCGGCCGCGCTGCTGCGCGCCGTGCTGTGCAGCCACGCGCCGGGCGAGCTGTGCGCGCTGCCGGGCGTGGCCGGCATCGTGGACGCCCTGGCGCCCTACACCCAGCGCCACGCCGCGCGCCTGGACCGCCTGGCGCGCTCCGCTTTCCTCCTGGACCACGTGCTGGACAGCATGAGCATGCTGGAGCCGGTGGACGAGGCCGCCCAGAACGGGCACGCCAAGCCAGACGGCGTGCTGGCAGGCTGACGCAGGAGGGCGTGTCGTGAGAGCAATGTTGGGGGGGATGCGGACCTGTTCACGCACGCCACCACGCTCGCCATCCCCCAACCTCCATCCCCCCCACACGCGTTCAAGCGTAGACCCCTCCCCTCTCGACTGTGTGGTGCGCAGGGTGTTGTATGGTACACGCTGCGGCATTGTAACAATGAAGGACATGCGGGCAAGGGGAGACATCACTGTCAGTGGGTATAAGGCGGGTGCTTGGGTATCACTGTGATCTGTGCAGGAGGGCCAAAGCGATGGCGCCATGCGATCCCTTCAAAGGGATGCTTGGCGTAGCAGGGGGACCGCCTGGTCGCTCCCAATGTGCTTCTTGTAGGCCCTGCAATCACGAGATGGGGGTGTGCCGGGCTGACAACCTCCACTTGCCCGAGTCCCGTCCCCAGCACGGCCTGGCGCGATCCCAGCAGAGCAAGACGTTCTTCAACGTGCATTACATGAACATTCCGCACCTGTAGGAGTCGATGGCCATGGGAGCAGTCGCGGAGCTGGGCGGGGTGGGGTCGTTCCAGTCCCGGTTGCAGCTGGGCTTGTTCCAGTCCCCCCGGGCGTACCGCAGCCTGCGAACATGCTCCCGCATCTTGTCCAGCATGGCTGCCTGCTCAGGATCCTGGGGGTCGGCGCGCTCCTCAAAGTACGTGAGCTGGGCGAGCAAGTCTTCCTCAGCTGCCGAGGGCGAGTCGGACGAAGTGGGGTTGCATGCTGCTGCCTCCCCCATTTGCCCTGGCCACGACACACCGAGGATGCGCGTCGGAGGATCCGAGGCGGTGCAGTCTTGCGAATTCGGCGAGCGAGCAAGGCCTGGTCAACGACTTTGGCAAGATCGAGATCCGGCATGGTTGCTTCTCAGGCATGTGCGCGCCCAAACTTCATGTCAAGGGAGTTGAACTGCATGACATGCCCTCCCTCCCTTGAGCAATTACCGGCGAGACGGACACCGAAGCTCTCCTGCCCTCCCTTTGATGCGCTGCATATTCCATATGGGGGCGTCGAGGGCGTTCTCACTCATGCCAGCATTCCCACAGGGTGCACTGTGATGGGTTACCTCCTCCGTCACCTCCTGCACCAGCCAAGCGAGGCCGTCTCCTTTCCGCGAATACAGTCCTGAACGTCAACATGTGGTCAAGCAGGGACATTGCATGGGTGGAGCAGTTGTGGGAAGCACTACAGGGTATAGCAACAGTATTTGTGGGATGTTGGGGAAACTCCCATTCAGCAGGGGAATGAGGCCCGGCGGAGTTGCCGGAGCCTCCGGCGGTACGTGCCGCTCAGAAGTCTGCAAACACGGCCTCGCACTCCTCCATCTCCTCCGCCGATTCCTGGTGGGGCTTCTCGTGGCGCTCCCCCTCCTGGGTCGTGTTGTGTTGTGGTGGGGGCGCCAGTGAGCATGCTTGAACAGGAGCAACTGAAGCTTCCCTTGACAACCTGCCCATGTGTCCAATGGCAGCAGGCCATGGAGTCTGGGCCCTGCCATCTCACACACCATTCCCCTCATAATCTCAGGTACAGGTAGCATTCCCCCGCCTTCCCCCCCCAATCCGCCTCCCACCCACCCACCCGCCTAACCCACGCACCGTCAGCTCCTGAATGCGCTTGGTGGCATCCTGGCCTTTGGGGCGGCGCGGAGGGTCCATCTTGCGCGCCTCCAGCGCATCCCAGTCGAAGCCCTCGAACCAGGCGTGGCGCTTGATGTCGCCCGCCCTGCCCGCCAGCATGCCCAGCCGCCGCGCGGGCCGGCGCTCCAGCAGCCTCAGGATCAGGTCCTGTTCAGGATGGGGGGAAAGGGTGTGTTGGGGGGTGTTGTATGTGGGACAGGATCGGAATCGGGTGCAGGGAGGGGCGCTGAGAGCGCGAGGGGGCAGCAAGGGGCCCATCCCGGCACTTTCACCTGCTCGTGGCGACATGCGCACGGACTCCTTCCATCGGACCCCCGCGCCAGCAACCCCCCCCACGAAAGCACGACGGAGCCCCTCACCCTGGCGACGGGGTGGACGTAGGGCGGGAAGGCGATGCGGAACTTCTCGTCCACGATGCGCCGCATGACCACCATGGGGTCGTCGGTCTTGGGCGAGGTGAAGGGCTGGCGCCCCGTCAGCAGCACGTACATGAGCACGCCCAGGCCCCACCAGTCCACGGAGAAGTTGTAGCCCTGGGCCAGCACGTTCTCGGGGGCCACGTAGCCCGGGGTGCCGCAGAAGGTGTAGGTCTTGCGCCCGTTCTCCAGCGGCTGCGCGTGCATGGGGTTGGGATGAGTCATGATTGAGTAATCCATGCCCAAGACCTTCAGGCCACTTCCATCCTCGACCCTCCACAACCCCCCCAACCAGCTGCTCGCCTTGGCAAACCCAAAGTCGCCCAGCTTGATGTGGCCCCCGGTGTCGATGAACACGTTCTCGGGCTTCAGGTCCCGGTACACGATGTTGTGCTGGTGCAGGTAGTCCAGCGCCAGCACCAGGGAGGCCACGTAGAAGCGCGCCACCGAGTTGTCGAGGCCCTTGAGCACCTTGACCTGGCGGGCGGTGGCGGGGGTGTGGTGGAGAGCGGGGCGCATCGGTGAAGCGTTCATGCTGTGTGGAGAGATGGGAACCCCAGGCGACAGCGGGCCCAAGGGTGGCGATGGACGTGGCAGTGAAGCCCGCACGCCCCGGGAACACCAATCTGAGGGACCGCACTTGCCCGTCCCCCTCGGACACGCAGGGCCCCCGCCGGGCACCGCCCACCTTGGGCGCGAAGCAGCCCTGGCGCACGCCGCCGGCGTCCTTGCGCACGCTGATCACGTGCGCGTCCGCCACCAGGACGTCCATCAGGTCGCCACCGCCCATGTAGTCCATGAGGAAGTAGAGGTGGTACTTGTCCTGCTTGTTTTTTTTGGGGGGGGGGGGAGGGCGTGAGTGCCTGAGCGAGTGTCGCGCACCAAGACAGCGACCTCCTCTGACCCCTCTCCTCGTAGAGGCAGGCTGCTGGGGTCGGAAAGATTACTCATGCGACGAAGGAGGGCCTGCTAACATGACGCTCTCCGTGATGCTAAAGCTGCACATCATCCGAG